TTTCTTTTATTAAATAAAATAATAATCAAAGTTTATGACTTATATGTTTTTATTCTCTATAGTAATAACTGTGCTTTTTCAAACATTAAGAACAGTATTTCAAGGCTTTGTTTTCATTGTATTTTGCGTTAGCTGTTCATTTGCTTTTTGTCTCTTATGGTTTAAGGTTAGTATACTTTTTTTTTTCTGTCTCAAATCATATCTGAATAATTTTTTTTTTCTCAAATATTTATTTTAGATGCCCGAAACAAAAAGCAAAACATTGACCGAAATCGAAGCATTTTGGCAATAATAATTGATAAAATGATTCGAACAGTCTACAATAAAACTTCTAAAAGAAATTTAATTAATCTTTTAATAAATTTTGCTTATATTCATAAATGAATGTACATATTTATTTTAATATACTTTTAAAAAATAATTCTTATTGCTTGAAGACGCTTTAGGTGATGATTTTCTCCTAATAAAAAAAATAGTAGTCAGCACAGTTCCTTTGTTACTAAAAATGAAGAACTGAAATGTATTCTTTAATGTCATTAGATTATCGTTAAAAGACATCAAGTGAAAATATTCTAGCAAACTATAGTCCTTTGCCAATGATAGACGATTTGCCTTATTTATATTTGTATTTCGAACAGAAATTCTTCTATTTCTGCCTTATGTTTTATTGTTATATTATTATTCCTCTTATTTTCGTCTTTACATCTACAACAGGTTTCAACGTACTATTACATATTTTGATAAAGTCAGAAACATTAATATTGATTATTTCTCGAAGTTATGACCTGAGCAGTTCACATTTTTTATATTGACCGTATGTGACGACTGTGGCAAATCAATGTATCACTACATGTTGTTCTTGATTTCTATCGCATAAAAACTTTCATCTATGCAATACTCAAAACTCCATTATTTAGAACATTAACAAATGTATTCTAACCATTTAAATTTCGAGGAAGACTTTCGAATGTCTTAGAACAATCTAAATTTTGTTGTCCATTATCATTTTCGACAGACTTTTATTGAGTATAAAATCTGTTATGAATGTTATTTAAAATCCCAGCGTGAGTCTCTCGAAAAAAACATTTTTTAATCATCCTATACTACATTAATAAGATATGATTACACCGAGCATCATATTTCTCATGAATGATGTAGCAAGAATTTATCTTGTTTTTTTGACTTGTAAGAAGATAATGGATGCATTTTCTACTCTCTCAAATCTGCACTTCTAATTATTCCTGCAGACTTGCTTCTTTTTTTTATTCCTTCATTTCTCTCTCTCAGCTCACTCAGATATAAAGTAGAAAAAACGAAGAAAATAAGTAGAATAATATACATGCTGATATAAGTAGTCATAGTTGTATAGGGAAGCATCTCAATGAATTCCAAACTTTCAGCTTCATTTTTGGCTCTATTTAGGTTTCAATAAAGCTAAGAATAGTCCAGAAGCGTTCATACTTCTACCCTATTAATGAAGATTTATGATCGTTTTAGTGGAATTTTTACTTAGAATAAAACATTCTCAAAAAAATTTTGATATAAAATTCTGTCTATAGACAGACAAGAAAATGAACGTACTCTTCTTCAAGATATTTTATTTCCAAGAAACTTAAAAATTGTGTCCTTATTTAATAAGTGGCTATTTCTTTTTTTACAAATTGCATATATCGACAAAAACATGCTCATTTTCTTTGAAACTTTCTTGTACAACAAAATCAAACTTTTAATCGATTGAGAAATTCGATTCTTATTGATTACCATTTAGATTTTATTTCACAATGTTCATGACGACAATTGTCATATTTTTTATTCTAAGTTGATTTTCATTGATTTATTTATACTGTTGTAATGGTTTATAAACGATACTAAATCTCTTATTACTCGTTAATCGATTTTAATCATACGTATTGAAGATCAGTACTTCTCTCAAGACTAGAACGTAATATCTCATTTTTTTTTCTGATTGCTCGTTTTTCAAGATCATGAAATTGCTACCAAACTATAATCCGACAACTAAAGTAAATGTTGGAAAATGCTGTATAAATCGTTTCAAATGGAAATGATGCAATTACATCAAAAATCGATTGTTGATGAAAATCTGATTACAACTGAGATAATCATTAATAATCGATGGAACAGATTATATTTCAAACGATTTAACAATTTTAATCAGATTTTCCTCGATAAAGTGGTGAATTCGTAAAAACGATGAGATTTTTCACATCAATAATCATAAACAATCATGATCTTCTTCAGAATATTTTCTACTAGGACGTTAAAACTAACGTTGAAGATTTCAAGATTAATATTAGTCACACAGTATAAAATATATAGTTTTAGAAGTGAGATCGTCTTCGATAGATAAATACAACGAAACATTCTTAGCAAATGAATATATAAAACAATACTGCAAATATATTCTATTCTATGAAATATGTCAATCAAATAAAAGTGGGCTACTTCTTAATTGCGGACAAAATTTCAGCCCTCACCCACACTGTCGGCATGCTAATTGGTTTGATTTTCGTCCGCAATCAAAAAGACACGATCCACACGAGGATAAGATTAAATAAATTATTGAATGATTAACATTTTTAAGCTCGTTATAAATTTGATTTGAAATAAGATCATATCAACTGTCAAATTAATCGAACATGAAAAGTAAGAATAATTGATCTTTCATTATTATACAACTACCATATTCAAAAATTTCTATTCAATCTAATTGCACAGTATCGTCTTGGAAATATCTCTTCATTATAAATCTTAAAGTATTAGAAGTAAAAGTCTTGTCTATTATATTGATATGGGGTCATATGTTTCCATTATAACATAATTAGCAGGAGGAAATGAACTTTTTTTTCTATGCATTTGTATCACAAAGGAGTAAGAACGAGTTTATAATAAATAATGCTTGAACGCAGATATGATATCTTCAATTTTCTATCATGTCATTCAGCAAAAAAAAAGGATATTTTGATAAAAATCAGAAAAGCAAGAATTATTTGTGCAGAAGAATTTTTTATTAATTTTGGTAAAACAAATCCTTTTTTTCTTTATTTTAATATCTTGACAGAGTGTTCTTAATTTAAGAAGAGAAAAAAATATTGAATCGATATTGATTGTTGGTTGAAGAAATTTTTTAAAAATTCACAGTAAAAACTATCAGAATGTAACAGTTTATTTTCCTATTGAATTTAAATAGAAAAAAGATTCTAATGACTCTGTTGTGATTCAATCAAAGGTGCTGTTTATTTTCTTAATAATAGAAGGTTATTTCATGACATTGATTAGAATTTTAGTAAAAATCTATTGAGTATGAATTGTGAATTAGTGATCATTAAAACTTTTGATTTCAATCGAATAAAGTTTGAAATGTTTCGGCATTATTCATTTACTGATAATTGCAACAATGAATTCTTGCGAATGAAATGAAACTTTTCAAGTGAATCATTCTTCAACTTATATTAAACGTACATGACAAAAAAAAAAAATCAAATGTTTGAATTTCAAAGTGAAAATTTTATATGAAATAAAATGTCTCAGTATTACTACGATATGATGAAAGTTTTTTTACGAGAGTTGGAAAATTCTAGCTATTTTCAGAGCTATATATGTCAAGATAAATTCAAACATATAGTTTTTTTTTCTGATCTACCTTAACATAGGCCAAAAAAGATAGTAAAATCGTTCTAATTCGACAACGAAAATAAAGCGATTCGTTGTATTTTAATCTTGATAAGTCCTATGTAATGCAGAAAGTTTCACCACAAAAGATTCTGATACAGACAGAATCTGTACGAGCGATTGTTCACCTGGTTGACCTTGTCTAGGCACGTCTCTATCGGTTTCCATTGTCTAAAAATTTGAAATAAAAGAAACCAGCAAGTTCTGATGACATAATGTAAATATCTGAACATACCGGATGGAACTATAGCTATGAAAAACAGAAATATGATCTTTTGATTGAGTTCATAATAAAATAATTAATATACATTCTTGTCATTGACAATGATAGATAATATCATTATGAAGTCAGGAACTACTCATCCCTTTGTATATTGTAGTCTCCACAGGAGTATTTTTTTGTCATCTATTGGGTGTGAATGTTATCTTCGTACATATGCCCTCTGTTTACTATTATACTTAGTCAAAGCCTGATCTATTGCTGTTTTAATTTCGATGTCTATTTTTTGATTTTGTAATATTTTATCATGAAATTGATAGACTTGAAAAATTGTACATCTGAATAAAGAATGTTATCACTTTCGAGATTATATTTTGAAATAAAATATGTAAAGATACAAGTTTTGATTGACAAAAAAAACAAAAAACAAAATCATTTATTTATTTTTTTATATCATTATGTGTAAATAAGATCTTAGTAGTGTATGATTAAAATTTTAGATTTCATTTTGATAAAAATGAAATAAATCCTAATGAAAAATTACTATGTATCTTTGATATAATTATTACATTTTCAAGGGAATTTTTCTTCAACTAAGAATTATTTCTTGTTTACGTTTCTTTATTAAAATGAATAAGATAACATCTATATAATGTAGTTTATTTAGTACACATAGAATAATTATTTTATTTATTTCAATGAGAAATTTTTTTAAGTTGTTATAAACAAAAAAAAGGAAAAGAAAATTAATTGAATTCTGTCATTTTTATAAATTTCTATCTAATTTCAAAATAGATTAAATCTTCTTTCTTTTTTTTTTTTTTTCTTCTATTTATATATTATCTTAGGAAAAGAAAACATTTCTAACTACTTCTATGATGAACCTCTTATAGAATGATAATTAAGAGATTTTCTGTAAAAAAGATGGTGTTTCCTCTTTCTTTTTATTCTCTGTTCCTGTTCATATGCGTGATTCTCTCATCAGACTTAAAAAAAAAAGAAAAGAAAAGAAAAACAAAACCATGTTTTATTTAAAAAGAAAAAGAAAGACAAGATGATACTTACATTAATGTCTTATGAAACTTAAATGATGTCTTCTGCGAACATAAATAATAATATCAAACGTCATTTAATTGATATAAAACCAAATCGAGAAAATATTCGTTTAATTTATTTAAATAATACAGAACCAACATTTGACATACAATCAAATTTACTTAAAATAAATCCAGCTGCACAATTTTATACGGATATTCAATTATGTATTGATATAATAAAAACAATTTCTAATGAAAATATTTTTTTAATTATTTCAAATATATTATTATCAAATATTTTCGATTATATTTATTCTTTACAATCAATTATTGCTATTTTTATTTATGATGATAAACAACAAATAAATGAATTGAAAATTAAATGTCCAAAAATAATTGATACATATACAAATCAATATGATTTATTTAAATCTATTGAAGAAAAAATTCAATTTATTGAAAAACAAACATTTATTTATAGTTTATTTAATCAAAAACATAAATTAATAACAAATGAATCAGCTTCATTTCTTTGGTATTATATGTTAATTGATATTCTTAAACAAATACCACAAAATGAATCTTTACATGATGAAATCTTAAATAAATGTTCAGATTATTATCGAACAAATCGTTTAGAATTAGATAATATTGAATTATTTCGTCAAAATTATCTAACACAACAAGCTATACAATGGTATAAAAATGATTGTTTTATGTATAAATTATTAAATCGTGCATTACGTACAATAGATTTTGAAATTTTATATTCAATTCGTTTTTTTATTATTGATTTATATTTTCAAATAAAAAAAGAATATAAAAATATTAAAAAACAAGAATATTTAATTGTTTATCATGCACAAATTATGTCTATTGAAGAAATTAAAAAATTAAAAAAATATATTGGTTATTTAATATCAATCAATAATTTTTTATTAACATCATATAATAAAAATTTATTATTAAAAAATTATTTTCAAGAAAATTTTTCAATATATGTTAATGTTCTTTTTGAAATTCATATTGATCTTAGAATTGAAACAATTAGTTTAACTAATATATCATCATTATGTCATGAAAATGAAATTTTATTAAATATAAATTCTATATTTAAAATAGATTCTATAGAATATGATTCTATAAATAATTTATGGAATATTAAACTAATAACAAATGATGATGAAACAAAACATGTTCATGAATATTTAAAATGGACTCAAAAAGAAATGGATTATGATAGTTCAATGATTTATTTTGGTTATCTTTTATGGAATGAATTAGGTCAAATGAATCAAGCAAAAAATTATTTTCATATATTATTAAAATTATTAACAAATAATAATAGAGATATTGCAAAAATTTATATTGAATTAGGAAATATAAATAATGAAATTAAAGAATATAAATTAGCATTAGAAAATTATGAATATGCTCTTGATATTTATCAAAAACAAATACCAAAAGATAATATTCATATTGCTTTAGTATTAAATCATATTGGAATTGTTTATAAACATATGGGTAAATTTGATCGTGCTATTGAATATTATCAACAATCATTAGATATTTATGAAACTACATGTTCACATAATACAGATCATATTCATCGAACTAATACTATGGTTAATATGGCCTTAGCATATAGAGATAAAAAAGATTTTCATACTGCTCTTACTTATCTAATGCAAGCTTATAATATTCGTCATGATATTCTTCCAAATGATGATCCATTACTTGCAAATTCATTAATTAATATTGGTAATATCTATTGTGATAAACATGATTTAAATCAAGCTCTTGATTATTATCAACAAGCTTTATCAATTCAAGAAATAGTCTATCCAGATGATCATTTAAATAAAGTCCATACACTACAAACTATTGGTCATATTTATTTTGATAAACAAAATTGGCAAAATGCTCTAGATTATTTAAATCGTACATTGAAAATGTATCAATGTTTATTATCTACTAATATAAATCATTATGATATTGCTATGTGTTATGGTGATATTGGTAATGTATATGAAAAAATGAATAATTTAGATTTAGCATATAATTATTATGATCAACAATTTCAAATTGAAGAACAATATTTATTATTTAATCATCCAAATCTTATTATACATTTTGATCATATAATAAATATATTAAAAAAGAATAATAATATTGAAAAAGCAATTGAATTATGTCAAAAAAAATTATCTATATTAAAAAATATTTTTGGAATTGAATATGAATATAATTTACGTATAGCTCGTATATTAGTATTAATAGCAACATTATATGAAGATAAAAATCCACTTGAATCTCATCAATATTATCAACAAGCATTAGATATATTTGAACATAATAAAAATGAAGATACATTTCAAATATGTCTTTCAACAATGATAAATTTCTATTGGAAATGTCGAATGTTTGATCGTGCATTAATATGTCAAATGAAATTACTTAATATTCGACGTTCAATATTATCATCTAATCATCATGATATAGGATATAGTTTACGTGATTTAGCACGACTTTATCGAGTTATGAATAAATCAAATGAAGCATTACAATATTTTGAACAAAGTTTACATATTTTACAATCAAAATATGGATCTGAACATATAGATGTTAAAAATATACAAAAAGAAATTATTGATTTAAAAGATATAATTAAATCAATATCATCTAATGCTGATGAAGATTATAATTATCGTCGAAATTCGAATGCACATAAATCATTCTTTATAATGCCACAAAATGATTCAAATTCACAATCATCTACATCAAGTTGGAATACAAAAAATAAATCATCAAGATCAAACTCTACGAGTGCAATTTGTATTATTATATAAATAAAAATTATATTTTTAAACTTACATATATTTTCGAGAGAAAATAGTGATTTCGAATTCTTCATTACAGAAATAGAAACAGATTCTTAATCTAATGATTGATTATTTCTCTGAATATATTTTCTATTAGTTGAATTAGACTAAAAAAATGATGTGTAAGTTCCACACAATTGAGCCCTAAAGAGGCAACGGTAAAAAACTTTTCTATCTGATAATTATCATAATAAGTCATAATCCTTTAGATTTGCATGCTAGTCATGAAATTACAGTCAGAAATAGTTATCGTTTGAATGTATTAAATAAGAAAGTTTGGTTTATAGAATATCTAAAAAAAGCTTCTAATTGAATGAAATGAATATTACCAGATGATTCATTATGTACAAGAAAAGAATTCTTCTCACATCATACGTTTGTTCACATCATCGATAGTAACGTTTACAATTGTTGATTCGGAGCAGTATACTGATCATAGTTATCACATGAGTTGTTTTGTTTTTTTTCTTATGTGAATTATAAATTCGGAAATTTCTTTTATTAGAAACAAGAATGTCAAAGTAACATTTTAATTTACGAACATAAGATTATGTAACCATGTCAATAATAATGTATACATAAAAATGATATAGACATCTATCAATAAGCTTCAGATTAAAATATTAACTTACTTTTCCAAGACTTTGCTTTTAAATTTTTTTAGTATTCACTTTGTTTTTCAGTAAAACATCTCTATGTAAATCAGAGATGTCTTTTAATAAACAGTTTTTGAATGCGTAACATATTATAGAGTCTATTGAACAAATTATATAAAGATGCTCTTACAATGTTCGTTATTTTTGAAGAATAGAGCTGATCAGACATATTTGAAACTTTCAGAATAATTGATCTTGATGAGTAGATATATTATATTTTTGTTCATTTATTAACATATGAAGAATACATTTGTTACAACCTATAAATACTTGACTGTTTTACTGAATAGCTTCTATACATAAAATTTAAATAATAAATGAAAAAAACAAAAGAAAGTGTTATGTGATTTAAGTTTAACATTCTCATTTTCTCGAAAACTAATAATCTATTTTAAAGATCAAATAATTTATATGAAAATATACATCTTGAAAAAAAAAAAGAGAAACGAAACGCATCATTTCTTAATTGATTTCCCGCATCAAAAGACTGATCTATAAAATTGTTTTGTTACTTAGAACAACTAAAATATGTGTAAATGATATATTTCAATCGATTTATTTTCATTTAATACGAAATTTTTTTTTTAATCATAATGTACATTTATTCATTGTTAACATAATCTTAAATAATTTATTTTTAAGTCAGAACAAACAAAAAAAAAATGTTCCTTGCTATACCATTGAATTTAATACAAAAGATTTTTGAGAAAAAAAAATATCATCAACAAGAAAAATTAATAAAAACAACAACTATATTTACACAGACAACAACAACAACATCAAATTTTTATTCACCTATAATTAATACTACGCAAATCAAACAAACAACACAACAAATAATTACACATATAAAAACAATAACATTTTATACTTATTCATCTATGATAAATACGACTTTAAAAACTAATATTACTATTCGAAATAAAATGTTTATTTCTTTGTTTATAACTTTAATAATAATTTCATTATGTATTAGTATTAGTTATTTTATTATGATATATTTTAGATATTATCTTACTATGAAACCGTTTGTTAAACAAAATTTATCAATATTTAATCGAGAATCATTTTCTAGTTCAGAAGATTCTAATTCTGATAAACAATCATATATATTAGTTAAAACAATAAATGATAAAAACAAAGAAAGACATTCGTTAACTGATTCGATTAAATTATTTAGATATTAGATATTTTCTTGTTTCAACAAAAAAAAAATCGTAATTGATAATTTTCGAATACGATTAATAATTCATTCTCAGTGACTGGTTTTAAAAAAAATGATTTTGTGATACTGAATAAGATTCTGGGTTTCAATCCAATAATTTCAACGTCCGGATCCATGAATTTCTGGTAGATTTTACACTATTCTCAGTATGAGAACTTGAAAATGTGAACTAGGTCCAATCACCAGATTCCTACTATTTGTCCGATTTTTCTAGCCGAAAATGGGTCGCATTTCTTGAGCAGAGGTATTAAAATAATTATCTGTTCTCTATGATTTGGTCTACTCACATATCATTCATCAATTAATAAATAAAATTTTGTTTTACTACATTGATATGACTAAAAACTTGAGGTCTATTGTAGTTACATCAGTTCAAAATAAATATTACTATTCTAATTATCATATTGCATAGATGAGATAAGAATTAATAAAATTTTTCTCTCAACTCCTTCGTACTCATAGATCTTCGAATTATTTTCTATTGTAAAGAAATAAAAAAACAACGATTGAAATAGAAAATATCGTTTTTTCTTTTTACAAGTACTTTATTAATTAATTGTTGAATAAGAAAAATATTTATCTTACAAATTTAATTAAATTATAAATAAAATTGAAAAATTCATTATTAATATAAAAATCAACCATGGAAAACATAACATTGTATTACTAGTATAGCAAGTATGTGTTACTTGATCAGGTTTACTACATGATGATTGTTGTCGACAAGCTGAATCGCACAATGTACAACTTCCACATATGCTAATATCATAATTTTTACATCTATCTGCACCACAACAACGACATCGACAAATTATATTTCCATCAGTACCACTAACACATGTACCATATGCTTGACCATTATGTGATAATGAAGGACATGATAATGGATATCGATTTATACATGCTTGTGTACAAGCTCCTGATGAACATTGAGATATTGATGCTATACCCACGTATGTCGGTAAACAATTCGAACCTGTTTGACAGCACATACATGAACATGTATAACCAAGCCATGAACCAATGGTTGTTTGTGTTGATGTTGTTGTTGTTATGAGATTTGTACATGTACCTTGAGTGAATCCATTATGATTTGCTACACATACATGTGGATATTGAGTAGCACATGATATACTACATGATTCTGTGTTACATACAAATGCTTGACTATTACCAACATATGAAGGTGAACATGAAGGAGAACCTGTATTGCAACAATCACATCGACAATTAAATGATGGAACAATTGTTGAATTACATTGTGCTGATATTAGATTGAATGGATAATTTTGTCGACATGTAGAATATGTAGCTTGACATTGTGCAAGACATGTTTCTAATGTACAACTTTGTACGTGAATCAGTGGTAAAGAATTAGGATTACACGGTAGACCAGGACAGCATGAACATAAACATAAATGTTGTTGTGCTTGAACACTGCCAAATAACAAAAAATACCATAATAGATGCATCGTTATAACTTGTCAAGATTATGTCGGTGATGATTTTATATCAAAGAAGTATAATATTGAGAAAAAAAAAAATTGATATTTTCAAGACAACAACAAAACAGAAAGTTATATTCAAGGTTGAATCTTATTGTCAACATGTCATTTGACTATAGAATAAAATTAATACCTAAGTACATATTAATAACCTCAAGATACATATAAGAATAGGTCGTAAAATGCTTAGTATGAATCCGATGAATGATGTTTCCAAAATATTATCAGTCATAGTTTTATTTCGGAGCAAGATTAAACAAGAATTTTGAGTTTCGTTCTTTTTTTCCTTGAAATATTTACCTATTTCTTAAGTGAATAAAAAAAAAAATAACATATTGATACAAATATGATTCATTGTTTGATAAAGAAAGACACAAAAATTCAAACGAATATGATCGTATTCTCCTCTTTGATATCAGTTAAAGTTTAGCATATGAAAGAAATTTTCGGCATCATTCTAAAATTCAAAATATCTAATTGAATAAATAAGAGATATGATTAACTTAGACTATATAATCTTATTTTATAACTTAATCGAACACTAACATATCAATAGAATTTCATTTCATAGGGCTGTATTTTATTGTGCGATACGCAGTTGATAACAACTGTCAAACAGTCTAAAACTTGTATATCTGACCGTTTAGAATATATTGTGAGTGCATGTGAGTATGTAAGACACATTCATACTCTGCATGTAAAAAAGATATGTGATACCGACGTTATGCCATACTTAGTAAATGTTGTCAACTATGTACATGATCATGTTCTCAATAACGTTAATAGAAACAGTACGAATGTACTTCTTAGAAATGTATCTATCATCAACAGAGTAGGAAAATATTACTAATACAATTTTGTTTGCTACTATTAGTGTAGAACTTCGTCATCATTTTTGTTTTTATCGTTCGAAAAAGGAATTAACTTTAAATTTTAGTATAAACTATGCAATAAAAAATGATTAAAGTCTAGTCATTTGTCAAACAGGATAAGATACGATTTGATGATAGTATCCGAAAAAATAACATACTTCGACCAATCATCGTTTCATTTTAACTTATCCTTATCTAACAAGAGAATCTCTTCAAGTATCAAATTGCTTTTCGACCGAAACTATGTTTATATGATGAGTACTAGAAAATTCTGGAATATTTCAGTTTTTTAAATATCGAAATTTTATTCGTAGTTCTTAATGAGATTAGTTGATTGTTCAAATTTTAGCTATTCTAATATCTTCTATCTTGAAATATTCTTATTTGTCAAAGGAAATTTTGTTCATATATTTACACTTCGAAATCGAAACTCGTTTTTTTTCCTCATATGATCTTAGAAGAATCATTGCTTTTTATTGAAAAAAAAAACCATCTCGAGAACGAAAGCTTAGAAAAAAACCAAAACATTTTAGACATTTGAAAAAATTCTCTCGTAAGTGTCTATCTTCTTTAACTATGTTAATATTGCAACATACAATTAGATTATATTACATAATATATAAAAAAATCTATTTTCTTTTTTTTTTCATTTGAAATGTATTTCTTGTCGCCTCGTATCACGATTAAATATTAAAAAAAAAAAAGAAAGGAACTTGAATGAAAGGTTATAAAATAATAATATATTCAATTCATTATATGAGTTAGTATGAATGTTTTTTTCTTTTGTTTTGTTATCTAAATGCATTTTATATTATTGTTCAATTAAATTAATTATCGTCCATCGACTGGTGTATATCCTGGTGTAGGTGCTATAACACAAAATAAATAATAGAATAATGAAAAAAATAATAATAAATTATGTCTTACTCCATATACCAAATGTAGATTCACTAAGACGATCTTGACGAACTTTATTTAATAATACAAGTATAATTGGTTTAATTAATAAATGAACTATAGCAAAACTAGAATAATTTAATATAATATTAAAATTTAAGATTTTCGTTTTTTCAATAAATTAACTTACAGAGCACTAATAACAAAATATGCAATACTACTGCCAGTACTATAAGCTAAAAATAAATAAAATAAACTTAATAATAATTAAAAATAAACATGAACATATATATACTTTGTTTTCCAATTTGAAAATACATTCCAATACCAATTGAATCTAATACAATTGAAAAAATTTCAATTAACATTAACTAAACAAATAAAAAAACAAAATATTAATAATGTACAAAATAAAAACATATAACAAACAAGTTCAACTTGAATAACATTTTCACGATGTACTATAGCCCAAAAACCAAGTGCTAAAATAGTAACTTGATTGAGAAGATATGATTTAGGTAACCAATCAGCCATTAGTACCCTAATCAAAAAAAGAAAATTTATATTGTTTATGATTAGAAAAACAAAAAAAGAAAAATCTCATTACTTACATGCTTATAAAAGTAAAATGTATACAAATAATTATCTTAAATTAATTAATAAAATTTCATTTGAATTTTATTTTTTAAATATATATATATATATTGTCTTACTCGAAGAAGTGTATCACGATTCATTGTCATTTTTTTTTTTGGTTTTTTACTTGTTCAATATTATTTATCTGTAAATATTTTTAAAATTATTCAACTAATGTTCTTTTTATGAAGAAAAAAAATGTTCTCTTTCTATAGGCAAAATATAATATTTTTTTATTATTAAGAATAAAAGAAAAAGCATGCTTTAATATTCATAATATTATTATTTAATGAAGAAACACGCGATTTTACATGTCACATGTATGTGAAATAAATGTAATCAATTAAACAATTTTTATTTTATTTCCTCTATTTATATGAAAAATTTTTCTAGTATTCGAATTTACATATCTACATTGACATTTTTGTTTTTGAATTCTTTTTCGCTTTTTTTCAAATCAAAAAAAGAAAAAAACAAAAAGTTGTGAAAATCGATCTGACATTTTGTTTGACTAAGAAAACTCGCAGTACGATTAGTCATAGAATAAATATCTGGATAAATCACTATAATGACTATTTTTCTCGGATCATTTGTGAGATTGTAGTCAAGCGCAAGAACTCTGTATCAAGTCAGTCTTCTATCTAGAGCTACAGCTAATTATAGTGAAGATATCGGATTAATTAAATCTGAAGTGAGAGAAATCATCCAAACTCTTTCATTTCTTTTAACTTCGACGAAACTTTTAGAAATGAAAATATTGAATTTCTTATAAAATTAATAAAAAATCTTTAATTCTTACTTTTACTGATAAGATAAAAAAGTTATTCATATTTACTTAGATTTTAATTGAATTAATTGAAAATAGATGAATAAATATGTTTATATTAAATTATTCAATATTTAAAAAGATGATTAAATTTATTTACTCTTTGTAATCTAAGAAATTGACAAGTATTAACAAAATAAACACACTCTACACATAATATTTCTTCTCTCTATAGATTTACAAAAAGAATATTTCTTTACAATATACAGTTTAACTTATTCCGATAATACTTCATATTTTAAATAATAAAATTTATCTTCAAAATGATTAAAAATGAATCCAATAATAATAACAAAATCATTCATGATATATACACATAAAGAACATTTATTATGGAGAAACAACAGAAGATACACATATAACATCAAACAAATCTGATATAGTTATATTCTACATCTAAAATTAATATGAAATTTTCAAAATCAACAGACAAAAACAAAATATAAAAATTCATTTCAATATTTTGAGCAATTTAAACACATGTTTATATGCTTTACACAAATCAATCATAACAACAACATATATTAAAAATCAATCGGAACAGTTAAATTTCCAATAGGTAAATTAATTAACCAATCAATTCATATGATGTCGCTTTTTCAATTTGAATGAATCATCAATATGGTTCGATTGTGTGCAATTCTGTTGATGTAATGATCATCTCATTCAAAAATGTTACTTTATCGATTACTTACTCGTCCTAAATCATTAAATTATGATTTTTATCGATTATTATCAGTCAGATCTATAATTCAACCACGTCGTCTAATAAAATTTACTATTGGTACAACTCTATTAACTGGTCTTGGTTTTATATCTTATACACTCTATGAATCTGGTCCTGAATGGGAAAAAATTCGTCGAACAAGTTATTTTTGGTCTCATATGCTTCCAGTTTATATACATTATCGATATCAACAAATGTATTTTAAATTATTTCCAACAAAAAATTCTGAAGAAGAAGATAAAATATGGTCTAATTTACATAATAAATATTGTGATTATGTATTAAATGTTGTTCTTCATCAACGAGGTGTTTATATTAAATTAGGACAAATAGCATCGACTCGTCCAGATATTGTACCAAAACCATATTTAAAAAAATTTGCTCAATTACAAGTAAAAATTAATATTATTATTCAAATTTAATTTTTTTTTTTGATTATTTAATATAATTAGGATGGTGTACCAGCTCAATCCGGTGAATATGCTCGACAAATGATTGAACAAGCATTTGATAAACCATTAGAAGATATTTTTTCTGAATTTAATCCAAAACCTGTTGGTGCAGCAACTATTGGACAAGCACATGAAGCACGTTTAAAAGGATCAAATAAAGAAGTTATTATTAAAATACAATATCCTGAAGTACGAAGACTTTTTGAATTGGATTTTTCAACATTAAAAAAATTTGTTCGATTAGCACAACCAGAACATTTACCTTTATTTGATGAATTTGAAAAAGGTTTTCAAATTGAATTTGATTTTAGAAGAGAAGCAAAAGCATTAGATATTATTGGTATGATAAAATTTCTTTTATATTAATAATAATAATATAGATTTCTTACGAAATATTTAATCAAATATTAGAATTATATATATTATGAGATATATTGAAAACTCTAAAAAGAAAAGAGCATGCATCTATATGATAATTTGTGAACTTTTTTCTTTCTTTAATCTATAGTTTTGAGATTTATGTATGAACCATTAATTACTTGGAAAAGATCGTATTGATGAATGATTAATAGAATTCCAATTGAAATATATTATTCCCAGAAAAAGAGAATGACTAACATCTTTGATTATCAAATGCTCTATTGGAATTTTCATATTTTCATAATAGGCTAATAATTGAAATATAACCTTTCGAGAATGATTATTTATTTCTTCTTTGATATAAATGAAGTTATCTTTGCGTATTAATATCGATATGACACAGTACATAATATGTCAAGAATGAAGATAAATCAACAGAGATTGTTTTTTTTTTTTATAAAATTAAATTTTCTATGAAATATTACGAAATAATATTAAATTATTTATTTTCTAGGTCATAATATAATGCCACGTTTTCCTAATGTTGTTATTCCACGTCCTATTCCTGGTATGTCAACAGAATTTGTCTTAGTTATGGAAAAATTAGATGGTACAAAATTAGTTGATGCACTTAAAATTGAACAAGCAAAAATGGCTACTGAACAAGGTAAAACTTTAGAAGAATTTGAACAAGAAATGATGACAAAATATTTATCCGGTGAACTTTATCGTGAAGCTAAAAAGAAATATACACCATCAGCTTTTATTATTAATACTTATGCATCATTAATACGTACAATAAATCGTATAAAAAATTTATGTATTTTCATATATAATCATACAATTGTACCAATATTAAAACGATATCCAATAGATTATATTGAACAATATGTTTTTATAAATCCACATGAAATAATTGATTTATTAAATGAAGTTCATGCACATGAAATATTAATTGATGGAATTTTTAATGGTGATCCACATCCAGGAAATATTTTTCTATTAAAAAATGGAAAAATTGGTAAGATAAAATGTTTTGAAAATCAATTGTAATTCATTAATTTGCTTTTCTTTTTAAATCTATAGGTTTAATTGATTTTGGTCAAGTACAAGAACTTTCTCTATCTCATCGTCTTAAATTAGCTAAATTAATTGTTTTACTTTCTGAAGGTACAAAAGAAGAAATTGTTCAACATTATATATCAATGGGTACACGTACACGTCATATGAATCCATATGTTATAGAAAAATTAGCTCGACTTGGATTTGATCGTGATGATCCAGAAATATGTGAAGGAAAAAATGCACAATTATTTTTTGAAGATTTAGGAAAATTAGATAAAATTATACAATTACCTGATGGATATTTAATGGCAGCAAGAGTTGGATTATTATTAAGAGGTTTAGGTACTTGGTTACAATTACCTCATTCAACAGCACAAAAATGGACACCAATTGCAAAAAAATTATTAGATACATATAAAGATATAGATGAACAGTTCTTAAATAGTTTTGTATCAGTCGATTATTCTTAATAGGAAAGTAAATCAAGCAATTCTTTTTTTTTAATTTTGTATTAATATTATTTGTTTTTAATACAAGTGAAATAGTTGATATAAAAAGAATTATTTTATTTTTTAATAAACTAGCATATGATATTTTTAATAGTTAATTATGTACTGTAAAACAAAAAAACTCATAAAAAGAATATTTCCTTGCGAACTATATCTTTGTTCCTTAATTATATCAATCTAGAGTAACGTTTATGATAAATGAAAATATGATAGTTTCAAAAACTAAATCTTCATCGATGTTGTTATGAAATTTGTTATTAATATGAAATATTCATACAATTTTTTGATCCTAGTCTCGATAATTTCTTTTCCAGTAGTGTCAGCTATGATCTTTTTAAATCTAATCTAATCGTGATAATTTTAGGTTATTCGTGTCTTAGTTTAGAGAAAATTATTTCAGACTTTATTCATATTACATCTAAATAAATTTCTTCAGTACTTGTTCTTTGATTTATTTAATCGATCGCTAGCACTTTCTTTAGCTCATCTCTCTTGAATGATGTTTTAACTGATATGATTTATAAGATAATCGGCTGAAACCTATAGAATATTTGACTATAGTCTTTAGTTTCTGTTGCAACAACTAGTGTCCTTAACGGGTACGTGTTTTTTCGCACTCGAACAAAAACTAATTGACATTCGACTGATACATGCTCAATCATGGTACAACTTTAAACATTTAGTTGCTTCTATAAACAACAACAAAAAAAAGAGATCACCTCCAACTCTATAAAAAGGCAAATGATTCAGGATTCACTTGGTTTCTTTCTGTTTCTATCATTCGATCAATTTGGCTAAGTACATTTTTGCTTGTTGGTGATGAAATTTGAATGGGACGTGGTGATAGTACCAAACGTCATAACTGTAAATATTTACATGAATAGTACTCCCATTACGATGATAAATGTTCATCTTTTTGGTAGTTCATTTGCCTCTTCATGTATTCAATACCTTTGTCATTGGGTTGCTCATTATCTGTAGATGAATTTTCATTAAAAACCAATTCTTTTAGTATAACAATATCGTTTCCTGCTTGTGTGACTTATTCTCAAATACAATGACTTACTTCATCATGATCGAATCCGTTTTCATTCCTATGATTCTATATATACAGCAGTATGAAAAAGTCAAAATATTTTGAAACATTGAGATCTCATTAATTGCTACATCGAGTGCTGGATATGATATTATACCAGAATCCGATTCAATTGCAGTACACTAGGTCCAACTTTCTCTATTAGTTCCAAGGGTGTCGGTTAGCTAAGCCAAAACAACACCAACACCATACGGACATCCACAACCAAGAAGTGCTAGTTCAGATGTTTGCGACTTTTGACAGCATAGTGATTGTTAATATAGGTCACCGATACACAAAAGTAAGTGATTGAAATGCGAAAATATCTTGTAGAATTGCTTTCAATTGGCCAAGAACTCGAGTCGTCTATCAGCACAAAAAGGCTGCCATGACTGAAAAACGTTTAGCGAATACGAGCTGCTCATTGAACAACAGCACTGATGTAAATAATAGCTGCTAATCCAAATATTATGAAACTTTCAACGTTTGCATACCTCAAGTCGCTGATTATTTTGATGACAAGATGCAAGGGTATCTAACCGAACTTTTTTCTCCAAAATGTTTTCGAAAAAACGAATCATGATAATAAGTCAACTTCGAGCCACAACATACGTATATTTATTAGTCTCAGCTCGATATTAAGATTCCTCACACTTCCATCTCCTTTTACCAGCTAAGGTACTTCCGTAATTCCTTTCCTTTTCATTTAGAATCAATCACATATTACAAATTATCGTTGACGACGCTGATTACGAATATTATCTTATTTTTTCTTGTTTAAACTAATTACATGAGTAAGGAGAACAAATTTCCAATGAAGTAGACATTGGGTAAATAAACGCGCTATTCTTTGTGTTTGACTGATGTTTGAAAAAAATTTTTCAAAAACTATTCAAGTTTTCTTGATATGATGATGTAAACATTAAGATAGACTTGTTTTTACGTGTCGAATAGATAAAAACAATGGTTAAACCTATTTCTATGCCAAGATAGGTCTCCGATGCGATGAAAAACATCACGATTTCGGCGTCTTTTAAATATGTCGGTATAAAACCGTAATTAATTGTATTTTACCAAAAAAAAAACGGTGATGAAACCAGATTTTATCTTGATTATGGTAGAAGAAACGATTTATCAAACGTGGCCGATAAATTAGAACGATAAATGGTGTTTAAACACCAATTTTGGTAATTGATTTCAAAATATAAATTAATTACAGAAATATTCCAAGATTTATATAATTTTGAGTAAATATAATTCATGTACAGTTTTTTAAACATCATCAATGACCTTTGAAAGGCAAAGAAAGCTTTATTTTCAGTATGAATGTCACTATTGTGATAGTATCGGTTAGTGCTTTATTAAACTAATCCGGCTTCTGGTTAAAATGAACAGCATATTAGTGTTTTTGCCTTATGCTTGAGAGGGATCCCGGCTAAATTTTTGATGGAAAATAAATTTGCTCAGAAGTCTTTGAAAACTATATGTACCGATCCAGTTTTTAGCGTTGATTTCATATATGCAGTTCATTTTGATCAGAAGCCGAAGTAGTCTAATAAAACATTGAAAAAAACTTGTGACAATACCAAAGTTTCCATACATCCTGAGCATTGCAGCTCATATATTCAGGTTAGAAGGTTTTCCACAAAATCTTGGTCAATAGAAGAGTAGTATTACTGTAACCCTCAATAATTTTCTTGATAGCTTGTAAAAAAGATACTCACTATTATATGAAATTATATAAAATTTAGTACTCTTTCTAACCAAGACAAATTGAGTTTACAATATTTGCAAAATTTTGTACTCCCTGGTCAAATACTGGAACACTAGAAATACATTGAAAACCACTGAAAGTTCTAAAAGACGTCAACAATTTTTTCATAATGTTTTAGTCTTAAATTGACATCGAATATCCAAAAATTTCTTTAAAATCGATGTCAAAATGCTCGTCTCCCTTTTGTGATATCATTCGTGATGAAATATTTATAAATAGTTAATGGCCTACATTGCATTGCTTATATGTCCCGTCATTTCTTAA